CGCTTGGTCCAACTCACCTTTGGCCGGGTGATTTGGCGTTCGAGCATAGCAAAAGGAGGATATAAGGTGCAGTCATGCAAATTAAATACTTGTTCGGTTTGTTTGAAAGTATTGTTCGATTAAATGTTTTGTGTGCCCACTTAACAATTGCATAATTAGTTACATCCGCATGCATCATTATATATTAATTTTTGGTTACTGGGACTTTTAAGTCTCATTTCCCGTGGTTAATATTTTTACAGGAGCGAGTCCGGCCGAGAAAGCACCAGAGGTGTAACTATGGCGTATGAGACACCATCTTTTACGTTGCCTCTTATTTTAGATTATACAATGAATCTTATGCCAACTTAGGGCATATCTTTTTTGTGAAGCATGTAAACTCTAATCTTTTTATTAAAAGTATTTATATGACCAAGAGGATTATGTCTGTCCCTCTTGATTTATGATCTGATTTGAATATCATGACATGAGGATTATGTCTGTCTCTCATGGTTTTAATTGCCTTTTTGAATATTTTAAGACTTGTGTTATGTCTTGGATGTATCATGGTAAGAAAATTTTCTACCATGATAATGGTTTTAATAATTTACGAAAAATCGGTTTGTAAATTTGAGGGTGTTACACTGCGCCCAGCTCAGCAATTAGTGATTGATGTCAACCAAGGGCCGTTTCTAATTCCAACGTTGAATGAAGCTTCTCTTCTGAGATGGCTTGTGCATAATACAATTCTTTACTGGTAACCTCCAGCTTGGACTCCATATTACCCTCCTCAAGCCATGCTAGCTCCTCTTCAGCAGCTACCAATTGACGCCTCAAGTCAGCCACCTTAGCCCGTAAAGCATTAAGATGGTCCACACAATGAGTGATTTCTTAAACTCAATCATTGGCAGCAATCACTTGAGTCTTGGTATCAATATACTCATCCTTAATAAATTAGCTATTGGCTAGATAGTTTGGAAGGGATAAGAGCTCCGTATGGCAGTGATTAATGATGACGTAACATTTTGGGACTTGGGTGCGGAGGAACTCCAACTCGAGTATAAGAACAACTTTCTCCACAACAAGGGTGTCAATAGGGACCGATTTTATAGAGGGAAGCTAAAGAGAGAAAAGGATAATTAGTGATAAAAATAAGGAAAGGAGAAAGGAGAAGAGAATGCAACAGATTGACACCTAACTTCAGTCTACTAGTACTTTGTCTCTTCCTGTGGAATGAGGGGTATGGGCGGATTGCAAAGCTGACCATAAGGCTTTCTTCACTTGACTAGTAGGAGTAAAAGACTCAAACTCATCCTATATGGAGGCACCCTGAGTAGAGGCTATGGTGATTATCGTAGTCTCTTAGGTTGAAGGGCCAGCAATTGAAAGACTAATGCCAATAGCCACTGAAGGCTCCTTCAAGAGTCTTTCAGAGCCCTTAATCTCAATACCTCTTGCTGAACTGATGATGGGAGCCACCTTTGGGGCCGTAGTAGAGGTAACCTCCCAAACTTTACCAGTGGCCTCGAGCCTTGAATCACCAACACTATCCTGGGCCACAATGAAAGCACCCTCTTGAATTTCAATAGCAACCTTGAGACCCCCTAGGTCACTAGCACCATTTGGGGCTATGGCAGATATGGCTTCCCAAACCTTAGCTGCAGCCCCAAGATCTCCTATGCTTTTTGCCACCTCTCAAGCCACATTATAGGCAATCTCTATAAGGTCTTTAGGGTTGCCTCAGGAATGGCAATAGAGGCAACCCTTAAAGAATCTGGAGTTACTGGGGGAATGGTAGAAGACATGACCACCTAAGAATCTAGCATTGTCTTAGGTATGGCAGTGGAGGTAATCACCTAAAGATTTAGAGTTGGGGCCTCCAACCCTTCAAGACAAAGGGGACTCATTTCACTGTTGTCGAAGTCAGCCGATAAGATCATGGTGCATTGGTGCTTTTATGAGCACTTTGCCCTTTGGGGATTGGGTTTGACCGGAGGAGGTGTGGATGAAGGTTGATCAGGAGACACCAGGAGAGGTGATGTCTTTTTCCTCTTCTTAGAATCCGACAAGGGGGACAAAGCCCATTTTCTCTTTTCAGATCTATCTCCCTTGTCCGGTCGGCTTGGGAGATAACTCTTTTTAAGTTTGGGCTTCTTCATGATCAAGACATGAGAGGATGCATAGTCTCTCTCAATTTCTTTAACTACGAATCCCAACGAAGGGGCCGTTTAGGTCTCTGAAGCAATAGGAGTATCGATGTTGCCCCTCAAGAGATTCACCAATGCATATGATTGCGTCCAATCACAACCTGTAAAAATTCAAAAATAGGTTAGAATATGTCAGATAGCAAAAGGGCAAACATAGTAGACAACACTTACTGGTAGCCCCAAGTACATAAACACATTCTAGAGCATGATCGACATGGGGCTCAACTCGAAGAAGAAAGCATTGCATCCTGGTGCCCAAAAACTCATAAGGGCTATCAGCAGGTTAACCAGAATGTCGACATCAACCAATGAAAGTAGGATTAGGTCATAAATGCCCATTTCTTTCTACTGCTATTCGTGAGTCTGTCTCAAGTACTTCACCCAATTCGACTAAGTGCGGGGAGATCAAGGCCAGTTTTAAAGCTTCCGGCAGGAAGATTCAGTGAAGGCCAAAGTTGTCTTGGCCAGAATCAAGTTGCAGATTGAGGTCAGTGGCCATAGATTTAGGTGGGTAGGAGCAATCGGTTTAGAAAGGTCAGGGAGATGGTAAGTACCTAGCATCACTCTTGTTGGAAACTCAAAAGCTTTAGGGTGAAGTGTTGAAAAGACATGAAATCATCAACATTTATCCTTAAAAATATGAAAACCAAACAAAAAGCAAGAGTCTTACTAGAAAGCAATAGAATCATGGAAGGACGAATCCTCCTAAAACAAAATGAGGGGGCATCAGAATAAGAACTCAATCTAGAGGAGTATGAGTTCAAAAATAAAATGCATACTGTCACCAATCCCCTTAACAGAGAAATAAGATTTTAGATTATGACCACGGATTTAGGTAAATTTTGCTAGAAGTATTAAAGGGAATAGTAGTGGATGCAGTGGCAGCAGAAGAGGAAGCCATTATTAAGCAAAGGAAAGAACAAAGTGAGAAAAGAAAAAACTTAAACAACAAAAAATGGCAAGAAGGGTAAGGGGAACAACCAGAAAAAGAAATGAGAATTTATATTAACAAAGGGCGCTCAAAGACGAAGCGATAGTTTAATTTTTTCAAATATGCCACGTGGCTTGCGATATCAGCCACTAGCATGCGGGGGGCATTGTTTAAGCTAAATATGAAACATCGCTTTCCAAAACGTTAGGTAGGTCATAAAGCCATATGGCTAAGTGACTAAAGAGTCAAGCCCAATCAACCATCTGAATAGAGAATCCAGCCCCGAGCTCAATGAAAAGCCATGACCAGATAAGCATGTCGAAATCCCATGAGTTGCAAACCCACTCAGTGGACCGTTGGTATATAAAGACACGATCTCAAATGATCTCGGATCTCACGGGAACAACATCATCGTGCTCAAGTATCTCGGCGAGATGGGCTGGTTACAAAAAATGGAAGATAGTTAGTAAAGATCATGCCATGAGTTTTGCAAGATCTTTGATTCTTTCGAAGAACATTCTAGGTTCTAAAGGAGAAGTTGCCATCACTCTCTCATAATAAATAGAGTACCAAAGCGCGGAAGAAAAAGAGGGTCAACACTCAAAAGACTCACATTTTGCACCCCTAGTTCTTAGAATTATCAACTAGCTTTATCTTCAATTTAGTCTTGTAATCATTTTACATTTTAATAATAATCAAAACACTTATTCTACCAGCCTGAAGACCCTTTTATTATCAATTGAGACTCAACGTCTCTGGCACATCTAATAATTTGTTCTTCCATGATGAACATATAAAAACTGGTTCAAATATTATTGGTTATTCCCTTAGCCAATTAAGTCATGACGGATATCTCAGTGATAGATAACGAGTGTAGCACCCCAATAAGCACAAACTCTGTCAAAAACCCCGTAGTGATTAATGAGTGTAAAACAGGAGGGCTGGGAGAAAAAGAGGCTGCCTGTAGCTACTAGAGTGTTGGGTGAAGTATATGACCTTTCCTTGAAAGTAAAAAACAAACAAGAATCATTGTACGGAAAGAAACTGGCCAGCTAGATGTTGGAATATTGTGGAGGACATAGTGTACTTAGAAAGATAATCTGCAACGATTATGAGCACAACGGGCCTTCTTTTCAATCTCAAACTTTTTGAACGGAAAGCTTATGGCTTGTGGTTGTGTGAGGCACACGTGAAAGCTATAGTAGCTGCAGCGGATTCACTGGGTTTGTGCTTGGTCCGACATGGAAAACCTGCAAAGCAAGATGATAATATTCAGAGGGACATTAGCTGACCTGGCATGCAATAAAGCAGCTTTCATACTCATATTTTACTCAGTTCAGTACTTTAGTTATCTTCTCTATGCAGATGTTTGTTCTTAGGATCTCAACTCTCTACCACATTGGAAATATATCGTTTAATCCGAAGATCTGATTATGTCTTGTTTGCTGAACCACGTGAAGCGTTGTGCTAAACTATATATTTATTATTCTTGGGAAGCGCTTCGCAGGTTTTATATGTTCAACTGTTTAACAACGTGCAATGTGTTTCAATCCACGAAGCTCGAAGCTTAAGAAAGTAAACCTTTTAAATTATTAGGTATTTTAGTTAGTGTAACTTAAATTAGTTAGTCAGGTAGTTAGTTGTAGATATTCAGCTAATTCTTTACTCATGTAATCTGTAGAAATTCGGCCAATTCTTTGCTCATGTAATTTGTATACAGATTTCATGAGTAAAGAATTAGCTGAATATATACAACTAACTATCTGACTAACTAAAATAAAAAAGGAAGGGGGGGGGGGAAGAGAAAGAAAGAAAACGCTTTAGGCAAGTCCCAACTATTCTTGATTCACTTATTTTACTGTATGAAGACACTGATTCTCCACTGCTGAATTCTGTGGTTCCTGAGAAGACAAATCATTAAAATTCGCCTTACACCCTCCACTTCTGCATATAAAAGGAGAGGGCATTGCCGTCTCTCCGCACATATCACCAAGCTCCTTCTTCCCTCAAACTCTCATTCCATCAAACATATACCATCCTTTATTACTCGATTTCCTCTGCTTCTTCACCCTCCACCGTTCTCTTTAGTGTTCCCCCTCTGTGTCTTCCAAAACTACTAGTAGGTGTTAAGAAATGGCATCAAGCTCAATGTCATCCTCAGGGTCATGGTCTGCTAAGGAAAACAAAGCCTTTGAAATGGCCCTGGCAGTTTATGACAAGGACACCCCTGACCGTTGGTACAATGTTGCCAAGGCTGTTGGTGGGAAAACTCCTGAGGAAGTGAAGAGACACTACGATCTCCTTTTGGATGACCTGAAGCGTATCGAGTCTGGCCGTGTGGCCGTCCCTAATTACAACAAATCTGGAGGCTCTGACGAGGAAAAAAGGTATCTGACCACAAAAATGATTCCCACTTGCTCCTAAACCCCCAGCATTAAAATATTTTTCTTTCAACTAGCATGCTAAAGTTGCACTAGTTAATCCTGTGTACAGACTTTCTTGTAGATCATTTATTTTCTCCTTCTGAATCTGATCCTATTGCAGGCTGAGGAGCTTGAAGCTCCAGTGAATCCACTGGTGTCAACAACAATAAAAGATTTTGAACATCTTGCAGCTTCACGTGGTAGTGCATATTGTTATTTGATTTATGAGTTAGTGCAGTAGCAATAGACTACTAGTCATAAGGATCTTGACTCATGATTCCACGTTGTAATCTCATGTCCCAGAAGCTACGAAGAAGAATCTGCGATTCTGTTTCAATTCCTAGTATGTTTCTCGTTTCAACCCATAATAAAGTCGTCATTTCCGGTTGTTATCTTTGTGTATCATAAGCCTTGGCTCGAGTAATCAAATCCTAGTCATGGAACTTCCTAGTCACTTGTGATGAAATGACTTAAAGAGACAGAGACAAGAAAACCTTTAAACACCTGGTCAATTGGAATAATCTTGGCGATGAATATCACCTCTAACAGAAACATTAAGAACTGAAACAACTCATTGCCGAACTCTGAAGGGTCCATCAGGTTGGGACCGAAAGTGACAAGAAGCGGGAAATTTTGCTTTGAACGCTGAAAAGACTCTGGATTCCTTAGCTTGCCACTTGGAAACATAATTGTTAATTACCTGCCACTTCCATTGACCACTCTCCAATTCTATTTCTCCTTTATTTGCATTTTCTTCCTTTCTTTTTCCTCTCCATTCTGTTGATTACGATTTAAGGACAAAGTTAAAACAGTATAGTGCTGCTGAAAGCTTGTACAAGCAAGAATTCTTCTATTAAGCAGCTTGAATAACCCCAGGCATTTTTCATTCTTCAGTTCTCCTTAAGCTGAGACATGGGTTTCACGTTTTTAGTTTTTACAAGCTCTTCAAAGCCCCGACATGTTTAATCTAAAAACAGATGTACTTAAATAAGTCATTTAGCATGTGCTTAGTAGTATGTTATCTTCACTGTCACCCAAAAATTACAAATGTTTTCATGCCAGCATGTGATATAACTCGTAATAATCATCATCTCCATAAATAAAAAGATTATTTTTGCGCTTATAAAAAATAAAACTATTCAAAATTAATATACAATTAAGAATACGAAAATCTTACATTCTCAAAAGTTTAAACTAAGAAAACATTAATTAATATTGTTTTACAGTTCCAAGAAGCATTTCATAACTCTTCACTATAGAAATTAAAAAATGACCCGTGTTCGAGTGGCATGATGGCAGTATTCTTTCTTTCGCACAGATGACAGTATTATATTCCTATTCCATCATGATATTAAATATTGACATGCTAATGCAATAAACCAACATGCAAACACCTGGTATAAGCATATTTAGAATGGGAATGAAGCTAAATTAATTGAAGTTTCGTGACCCCAAAAGCTCATCCATTATAGTTATATTAAAATGGAAAAGACACGGGATTGTGTTTCCACTGTGATCTATATCCTAGATGAGTTTAATAATTATCTACTTAACCGCACCCTCCCTGTACTGAACTATGCTCACCTTTAATGAGTCTTTCATGGAATGTTATAAATTCACGTGCATGTACTGTAGTGTTGTTTGAAACATTTCGATTTTTAAGGTAGACATTGTTGCGGGGACACAGAAGGCTAATATTATGCCTACAAAAAATGACTAGGAATAGGATGGTCGCCCGGCCAGCTTAAAGCAAACGAGACTCCATTGGATGATTTGACTAACGTTAGGTCCGTTTAGTTGAACCACCTCTACTCACCCATCTCCATTCACGGACAAGCGCCTAGTCTTCATTCTCGAACAATAATTACCTCTCCGTTTTTCACTAATTCTTATTCATGGGACTCTCACTCAATTAACATTCAACTTCAGCTCAGATTTTGATCCTTTTTGTATTGCCAAAAGCTCATTCCTCAAGCAGCTTGGCATCTGACTCGACTATTACTCGTCTCAGCCCCACGTCGCAGGCAACGGAGCGTCCCCGGGGTCCTTAGGGGAACTCAGATTTTGATTTTGGTTTTCAGTGGATCTTCTTTCGAGCCAATTGGCCCAATCCACCATACCGATTCACTGACGTCGTCTGGCCCAAAGCAACGGTTGAATGAAATTGAGCTCATATATTAAACCATCGAACCATGTATATTTTCCCTCAAAAATCATAGGTAAGATAAGCCGGGGGGTGGGGGTTGATGATTCGATGTTGATATACTTACAAAAGCATAGTAGCTTTTACTGCTAAAAGTAGGATGACATCTGTATACAAGTTAACGGTTCCTTATTGATATAACAAAACTAGAAAAAAAAAAAAGCAAGAACATGAGCAAAATATAAATAGAAAACTAGAACAGGCTATTGCAGATTGAGTGTGGGAGAATTTGATATGGCCTTTCTATCTCTGCCTCCATCTCCGATAAGAATGATATCATCTTGTTTCTTTAAGATGCCAGCAAATACACGTGCATGTCTTCCCTTATTTTAGCTTCTTTTCTACAAACATGAGAAGCTGGATTCGACTTGGCACTATTTAGCACCTTCATAAGAACCTACTGAACAACTAAGTCATGAAGTACTGTCATAAAAATGCTCAATTTTAACAGAAAGAGAAAAGATTGTCGGAATTCAACTACTACCAGATTCAATAAAACCTCATGTTCAGGGTAAGAAACTACTGCTACCAAATTCAGAACTTTACATATTAGGAAATAAAAAAGAGCGCCCCCCGCTGCGGGGGGAAGGGGGGGTGTTACATGGTTGACATGGAATAACCCAAAAGGATAAAGCCTCTCGGATTTGTTTATTGGGTTTCAAAGAGCTTCTCTGCATTTAACCTACACACATGTGGGGTAGTGCCAAACGAGATTGTCAGGTCTTGGGATTCTACTCTTGTACGGTTGTCCGAAGAGGTAGAGAGCTTTCAACTTCTTTGGTAGTATCAGAGTTCCTTTCCGAAACAACTTTGGACAAACCAAACATCTGAATCAATCCATAACCACAATGCATCAGAAGACAATACAAAGACAGAGCCAAAAGGCGATGCAAATACGAGAGTTCTCAAGGAAAGCTTCAACAGAGACCTTTCGAACGGTTTTCTTAAAGCAAGTTTTGTGTTCATCCATAGAAGCATGGATAAACTCATCAACATGATCCTTCAAATCCTCCAAGAAAGTAGCTTGCTCATTCTTCTTCTTTCGACACGAGGTAACAGTTGAGGCAGTAGCAGCTGATGAAGTCTGCTTTTCAAATTCGTTCTTCTGAGTGTCCATGCCTCTGAAGACTCAACAACTAATACAAAAATTAACTCAATAATGCATTGATCATCAAGAAGTTGCTATAATATTTTCTCATCCAACTTCTTTAAAACAACGCAGGGCCCAAAGAAGAGAACAAGTGATATAGAGGCAACAGAAGGGAAATTAGTTCAGTAACACATTTTATAACGTACAATTTTGGAAGGGAAAAAACCACGAATCATGATTTCTAATCATCATTTCAATTTTATAATCCATGCCCAACAGAAGGGTAAAAAATAAGCTCACTAAAATCGAACATGTACATCCTAATTATCATTGATAAAAATGTCTAGTTAGCTCAATCAATGGAACAAAAGAGGGCCTGCATCAACTTGGCGTCATGCAACTTAAGAAAAAAGCGTATTCCAATTTCCAATGCATATACTGATATACAGCTCAAGCATTCACTGTAGTTCTGTAACTCCACAGGCACTAAATCAAAGATCTCATAAAAAGGATGACATCACATCTCATATTGATAATATGGAAATATACTTAATAAAAAAATAAAGAACAATTCCATCATTGATAAATGGGATCAAAAGAAGAGGAACCAAGCTACCACATGCATAACGATTCTCCTTAAATAAATAAAACTGCATGCCCTGTGCTATAAATTAAAACATTCATATATTCAGATTCAGCCTTCAAAAATCATTACTTGAGCATACCGGCAGAGCTGGACAGGAGCCGCACAGGCCATATCCACAATACAAAAAACCCGAAATGCACTCCAGAAATAGTCACATAATAAAAGCGTAATAAATGTTATTTTCATTATCACAGAGAACCAGACTATTTCCCAAGAAAAAAATCAGCAGATCTAAAATGCCCAAACCAAAGATAAGATTCAGAACCCACAGACTCTTGGTTGCGAACAAAATGCAAAGTAACAAGCCTGTCCTGTCTAGTCAGCATCCAATAACACAAGGTTAGAAGGATAACGGTTGTGCTAGAAATAGATCCAACTAAAGTATATCAATTTACACACCAGTCACGCAAACTTTAAAAGACTGAATAAAGCATTATCCAACCTCGTGTAAAGACCTCACACCAGGACACAAGCAATTGGTCTTGAGGAAGGGGGAAGAAGATTGCATCATACCTAAAATTCCTTACTTTTCCCATTAGTTAGCGGGACTGCGTAGATGAAATTAATACAAGACCTCATTTGAAGGTCATTTGCTTAAAATCCATAGCAGGAGAGATTATAAAATCATAGAATAGATTATTTCTAATGAATTTTGTAAAGAAAAGCTAGTCAAATCAATTATGAGACTTCAAAATCCTTCCTGGGTAATTTAAATTGTGAAACCTTTGGGTGCTTCACTGAGATAAACAAGAGAAAAGGTTGGGAAGCTATCCGAGACGGAGAGCCAAGCCAGCCTTCACGTTTGCCTCGTTGAAATGATAATAGTTGAGAAATAGAGACGGCGAAACGGCTGAGGGAAAGGTTTGATTTTTATGAACTAGACGGTGTCATAGCAGGCGTGACGCTAAACCCTTACACAATCAAGACTTCATCAATTTCTAATGTTGAAGACATAAAATAATCTATAGTCGCAGCAAAAACATACTACCCCGAAAATCATAACAAACAGATACTTAACCACATTCAAATCCACACAAAAGCTGGTGAAGAATTGTGGCGGAAAAATCACGAAAACATACACTACTTACCCTGAGAATGGAGAGGTTGTCAATTAAAGCAATGAAAGATATATTGAAGGAGACAGAGATGCAAATACCTGTATCTCGCTGGATGGCGATAGCGAGCCGTGTTGATCGAAGAGGCTGTGAGTTCAAATTAGCTATATAGGAATGCGAAGATCCGTGCTTTCTTTTTCATCAAGAAAGAAATGATTATGTTTATTTATAATTTATTCTTGAAGAAGAAACCCCCCCGCCGCCAATTGAAAGCGAAACCATAGATTGTTGAGTTTTTAAAATTGAAGAATGTAATTTTACATTTCATTTAAAAAAATAGTAATAAACAAAATATATAAATAATAATTTAATTTCTTAAAATGTAATAATTTTTTTAAAAACTTTAAAATTTTTTTATTATTAATAAATTTATGTAAATTATTAAATTACTCTTATTGAAAATAAATAATTTATAATTTTTTTATTCACAACTTTTCTTTTTAAATTTATAAAAAAAATCACAACTTAACATATTAAATTTTTTATTTACTGTTGCATTATTAAAAATATGAGAAAGAAAATTATAAATATGAAGAAGAAAGTTGTGAAGTATTTATTTTTAATAAAGATAATTTAATAATTTATATAAATTCATTAATGACAAAACAGTCTCTAAAAACTTCAGAAAAATTATGATATTTTAAGAGACTAACTTATTATTTATATATTTTATAAGAATTTGATTGTCATTTTTCCTAATGAATTTATAAATGGCCAAGGGTAAAAGGACTCACACTATTAAAAACAATTTTTTAAAAAAATTTAATCACCTCATTCCATAATTTTGATTCAATAGTAACTCAATTTTTAAATTTTAATTTATTACAACTTAATCCTTATAATTTTTGATTCAATTATAACTTAATTTATGGACTTTAACATATTGCAACTCAATCCCTATATTTTTAATAATTTAATATATTAATCTCTATATTTTATAAAATAAAATTATAAAGATTTTCATCTTTATAATTTTTATAAAGATTAAAATTTTTATTATTTAAAATATTAGCACTAAAATTTCAAAATGTTTTCACCATTTTTTTTAAACTTAACTCATTAATTTATGATCATTTTTAACTATAAATGATATACTTTGCCAATACTTATAAAAAAATTATTAGGCCAATATAAAATAAACACCTGAAAAAACTACTACTACCTTAAATATAAAATTCAGTGGCCTAATATCAAATGCAATATTATAATATAATGCTTTGTTTGAATAATAAGAGTTATTTAAAATTATTTTTATTTTATTACTCTAAAAATTAATATTTTATAAAACATGTTTTGAGAATAAAAAATAAAAAAATAAGTATTTTTTTATCATTTCTTATTTTTTAAAACAATAATCCTAAAACATCTTAAAATTATTTTTATTTTTCTATTATTTAAAATAATATTTTATTTTTTTATTCTCTAAACACTTTTTCAAAACATATTATTAAGCAAAATTTTTTTATTCTTTGTTTTGAATAATAGAAAATTATTTTTAAAATAGGTTGCCAAACATGCTCATAATCTCTATGTAATTAATATACAAAATAATAATACATAACCAACGCTTTATGAATCAATTCTTTTACATGTATACATGTACATATATATATATATATATATATTAAACCATATTCATCATATTTTTTTCTCAGATAGATTAATTCATTAAAAATTTTAATATTTATAATTTTATTTTTTAAAATATAAAAATTAATATTTTAAATCACTAAAAATATAGAGATTGGGTTATAATCGAGTTAAGATTATAATAACTAAGTTATAATAAGTTAAAGTTTAAATATTAAATTAAATTGAGTCAAAAATAGAATGATCAAATAATTAACTTCCTTTTAATTTATCATTGTTGATATATTATTTTGAAAATAATTTATTTTTTCTATATAATATTTTTATTATTTAATAAAAAATTATTAAAATGTTAAAATTATAAAAAATTATTTAATAGTTTATTTTTGTGCAAAATGTATAGTCCCCCATTAAAAAATTTAAGGAAATTTTTTAGGAATTAATTGTTAAAAATTATAAAGTGTTTTTAATATTTTAAAGTGTAATTAATATTTTTTAAGTGACCATAATAAATAAATTATTTTATATTTATTTTAAAATGAAACACCCTATTAAATAAGAGTAAATAAAAAATGAGATGTTGATTTGAAGATAATTAACTATATTAATAGGATGAGATTTAGTGAAAAATGTTTTACATTTTTTTTAACAAAGAGAGTAATAAAAAAACAATTAATTTCTTTAAAATATAATTTTATATATAGTATCAAAATTAAAGTCCATAATTTGAGACAAACTTAAATAAGTTTGAAAAAATTTAGTCCAAATTAAGTAAAATAATAGTTTTTTAAATTTTTAATCCAAGCCAGGTCAAGTTTGAACTTGACCCGAATATTTGAACAAAAAATTTTCTTAAAAAAACATGACATGTTAAATATCAATTAATTCTTTAAATTTTAATTCATTTCTAATTGAAAAACCAGGTATTTGTGCATATTATTACATAAATTTTCTTTTAAAAAATAAAAAATGTTCATGTTATTATATTGTTAATCTATAAAATACTTTAAAATAATATTTTAAACATATTTTAATCTTGATCTTTGAATTTTAAGACGCTTAATTTTTTTTATAAAAAATTGTGTTTCTTTTTTATTCTTAAATATTCTAAAAAGCATGTTTTATATTTTTGATAAAATAAAATACTTAACTTTAAAATAAAAATGATTATTTTTAAAGTTCAAGTTTATCAGAATAAACTTGAAGTTATCATGAGAATATTTGAGTTTATTTTTTAGATGATATAATTTGATATAGTTTGATAGGAATAATATTATCTTTACACATTAATTTTAAATTACATTTAAATCTCATAAAACTTGATCATGTTTTTAAAATTTTATAAAACTTATTTGTAGATAAGTTCTTTCTATAGGATTTATATGTAATTTTTTCAAAAAAATTAAGTTAAACATGGATATATAAATTTTTTTATGCTCAAATATTTTAAATTCAATTTAAATTGAGTTTAGTTTAAATAAGTTTAATGTATCTTCAGTTTAAATAAGCTTAACGTATCTCGAATTAACGAGGTATGGTAAAAATGTGTACAAACATTTTGCTTTTATAATTAAAAAAGTGTAAAGAATACTTTCTCTGAAACATAAAGTATTGGATAATTTTTATATTTTTTTTTAATTATACCTCTACTTCATTTATCATTTTTTTAAAAAAATTATGTATTAAAATTTTAATTATTATTATCAAAACTCTTATATCAAATATCTAATAAAAATATAAATAAAAAGATGTAAATATTTTTTAAAAATTAAAATTTTAATTCATATTAATATTATTCATAAATTATAAATTAATTAACCATCACTCGTATTTGAGACAAAATAGATCCTATAAAAGACGCGTTGAAGTCGGTTGGATTGAGCATTCAAAGAAATGCTCAAAATGAGAAAACCCCCGCCTTGACCCTCTGATAAGAAAACCCCTGCCCAGCCCAGCAAGCGTTGATTCGTATTTAAATACGCCACACATTTGGGCACCTTTCAAACTTAAACCTCTCGCTCTTCTTCATCCAAGTTCTAATCGCTTCAGAAAATAAAGTAATCGCCCATGGAAGATGACGAGTTCATCGACCTACCTGGCCAACCTTCTCAAGGTCCTTCTTCGTCGGAAAGATACCTGCTAGGCTTCGTCTGCGCCCACATCGTTGGGATTAAACACTATTCTGGTACCATCAGTGGCCGTGAAATGGTTGGTCTGGTCCGGGAACCTCTCAACCCCTACGATGAGAACGCCATTAAGGTCCTCAACACTCGAGCAGATCAGGTTGGGCATATTGAGCGCTCAGTCGCTGCCGTACTGTCTCCCTTGATAGACTCCAACCTTATCATTGTGGAAGGCATTGTGCCCAAAACGTATTCTGGTAACAAATTCAAGATTCCTTGTCAAATTCATATATTTACGACGATTGAGACTTTTCCAGCCGTGAAAGATGTGATTTCAGAAGGTGGGTTAACTTTAATTTTAGTATCCGATGCAGCGTCTACGTTGTCAGAGTCTATGGCTGTGAAAGATAAGATGGCTAAGAAAGAGTTTAAGTCTGTAGATGAGATTTTTAAGTTGGTTGATGAGAATATTAGCAAAAGGGGTGCATTGGAAGCATTGGAGCCTCCTCGAAGCGTCATCAAGTCTAATCTTTTCCTGCATCAGAAGGAAGGTTTAGGATGGTTAGTTCATAGAGAGAATTCTACTGAATTGCCGCCGTTTTGGGAAGAAAAAGATGGAGCCTTTGTGAATGTTTTGACTAATTATCATACGAACATAAGGCCGGAGCCTTTGCGAGGTGGTATTTTAGCCGATGATATGGGATTAGGCAAAACCTTAACTTTACTTTCTTTAATTGCTCTTGATAAAGATTCTTTCACTCTAAATATGGAAGAAGGAAAGCATGATGAAGGTTTCGCTGTTTCAAGTGATAAGAAGAGGAGAAGAACTAATATACAGACCACTGTATCAGAAAAAAGACGCAAGACTGAGAGTACTTCTTCAAGGGGCCATGTAAATGAAAAATCTGTTCTTGTAGATGGCACACCTTCAACTGGCATGGATACAAAGACTACATTGGTTGTGTGCCCTGCTTCTGTAATTTCAACATGGATATCACAGTTAGAAGAACATACTAAACCAGGCACATTGAAGACGTACATGTATTATGGTGATAGAAGGACCGAGGATGCTGAAGAACTTAAGATGTATGATTTAGTGTTAACCACATACACCACTTTAGCTATTGAAGAATCTTCTCCAGAGTCACCCATAAATAAAGTAGATTGGTGGAGGGTCATTTTGGACGAAGCACATGTTATAAAAAATGTGAATGCTAAACAAAGTCAAGCTATCATGAAAATTGTAGCTAAGCGGAGGTGGGCTGTTACAGGAACACCAATTCAAAACGGTTTATATGATTTATTTTCTCTCATGTCATTTTTACGCTTTCAACCATTTTCAACAAAGAGTTATTGGCAGAGCTTAGTGCAACTTCCTCTTGCTGAAAGAAACCCAAACGGACTCTTACGTCTTCAGGTATTATCATGCATCAGTTCCTGGTGTTCATTTGTAGGATCAAAGATCACCTACTTACGGCAATACTTAAATTATAGCACAGTATTATTCTAGCTCTAGGCTTGTTTTGTGGACTTCGTGCTATTTCTCTTTGTATGCAGGGACATAATGAATGAATCATTGGTTAATTTTGGTAATTGTTTTCTTTAATTTTTTACTCACGGTGTAGGTTTTGATGGCAACAATTTCATTGCGAAGAACAAAAGATAAAGCATTGGTAGGATTGCCTCCAAAAACTGTAGAGACTTGTTTTGTTGAACTTCTTGAGGAAGAACGGAAACTGTATGATCAGATTGAATCGCAAGCAAAGAACATAGTGGCGGGTTATTTAAATGATGGAAGCTTAATGCGCAACTATTCCACTGTACTTGGAATAATTTTACGGCTTCGCCAAATTTGTACCGATATGGCATTGTGCCCTTCAGATCTCAAATCTTTACTCCCTTCAAATAACATTGAAGGTACAAATTCTGCTGTTTAGCATTTTCCTTTTCTAACTACAAACTCTAATTTCTGCTGCCACAAATAACTTTGAATTGAGTAGAGATTTAGTTTGTGTATCTGGTTAGTTAGATTTCTCATGCTTTCCTTTTCTTCTTGCCTTTATTACTTGAATTCAATTCTCATGCTTGGAATTTGAAGGCTTATATATAATTTGTAAACACAGCAAACCATGTGCTATAAAATTTCTTTGATTGCTTAGGGTAATGTCCTTTTCCGTACTTCACGATTGACGATCATGAAAAGGTCAGTGCGTACAGCCTCCCAGGGATCACTTATTGCCTATGGGATCAAAGTAATTTTATTCAAAAAAGGAAGATTATCCTAGGTTAGCAATATCAATACCCTGTTGTATACCTTATAAAAATACCTTTTCTTGCTTTTAGAGGAGGTTAAACTTAAATTGGCTTTCGCATGAATCAGTATTAGGATTTCTAAGACGTGAAAAATTTGATGCTTTTCTTGTTTATTGTATTTGCCAACTGTAAAATATCTAACATGTCCAAGAATGTTATTTACATTAATATCTTGCAGGAAAGTTCAGCGACATTCCTTTACTGAAAAATACATAGTTGAACCATGATTATTTCTGTTCTGAGGTCAACATCTGCCATGTTTCTTTCTTAGTTAATTGATTTGACTCTGACTATCTATCAAAGAATCTGAAAATGCAGGCAACAAAGAACCTGTTGACACACGATTTTACATTTGTTTAAAGCTTGCTTTATTTTTTGCTTGTAGTCTTGAAGAGAATTTCTGCACAAAGTCACAGCTGGGTGCACTTATTATGACTTTTTGAAATGTAACGACTAAAATACCTACATCCTTGCCAGACAGTACTATTCCTCATTCGTTCTTGTGAAGCTGTACAGACCTTTTGCTCACGAATGTACCAATATCTTAAATTTAGGAAGGCATATTCCTAGGAGACTTGGTTAAAATAAGGTGTATAGTTAAGATTACAATATCTTAAATTTAGAAAGACATATTCCTCAAGTGAATTTGAGAAATTTCACTGCATCCTTACTTATGATTTGTATCTGAACAGATGTTTCCAATAACCCGGAGTTGCTGCAAAAGTTGGTTGAGGTGCTGCAAGATGGTGAAGATTTTGACTGTCCAATATGTATTTCTCCTCCAACTGACATTGTAATTACATGTTGTGCTCACATATTCTGCCAAGCTTGTATTCTGAAAACCCTGCAACGGAGCAAAGCCTGCTGTCCCCTTTGTCGTCACCCCCTCAAAGAATCTGACTTGTTCTCTGCGCCGCCTCAATCTTCTGATGGTGATGCTACTGGACTGTCCTCAGACAAAACAAGCTTATCCTCTAAGGTGTCTTCTCTGCTAAAACTTCTTGTTGCCACAAGGGATCAACATCCAGCTGCAAAATCAGTTGTATTTTCTCAATTTCGTAAGATGCTGATTTTACTGGAACAGCCTCTGAAAGTAGCTGGTTTCAAGATATTGCGTCTTGACGGGACCATGAATGCTAAACGAAGGGCTCGGGTTATGGAAGAATTTGCAGTTGGAGGAACAGATGAGCCCACGGTTCTACTGGCAAGCCTCAAGGCTTCAGGCACAGGTATAAATCTGACAGCCGCCTCCAGAGTATACTTGTTGGAGCCATGGTGGAACCCGGGAGTGGAGGAACAAGCAATGGATCGTGTGCACCGCATTGGGCAGAAAGAGGAGGTGAAGATTGTAAGACTGATTGCTAAAAACAGCATTGAAGAGAGGATATTGGAGTTGCAAGAGAAGAAGCAGCAGCTTGCCAAGGAAGCATTTGGAAAGAGGAGAGGGAGGAATGGTAGGGAAGTTGGAGGGGATGATTTCCGAATGCTCTTATCCTTGTGAGCTTTGCTCTTATGTCAATATCAGTTGATAGTTTGATTAGATGAAAGTGCATGCATGTTCCATGTTTTGTGTTCCCTGCCTGCAGGAAACTTGTATGGATGGATGTATGTTCTGGTCTTTCTTTTTGTCCTTTTCAGGCCAAATGCTTATGCTGTTCCCAACCAGGAACATTCAACATGCCTAGTGTAATGGCAGCATGCACACAAGCTTCCATTTTGAGATTAATGATTCCATTGACAAACAAGATTTACAGGGGGGAAATCTACTTATTTTGCTTCTTCTTTGGGTGTTATCCCTTGAAAGTAGGGTTATGCAAAAGTTCTTTACTCTCGTCTGGCTGAGTCCAACTCAAAACAACTTGGTCTGATTCGGTCCAAATAAAAATTAGTTTTTTAAGACTAAAAGATCAAACTCTTTATTTGAGTTGGATTGAACAAGAGACTGAGCATTTGAATCACTTGGTCTAGTTCTATAAATTTATTTAATATAATTATAATTAATTTATTAATTATTACAATAATAAGTTAATTTATATTAATAATTAGTATTTTTTTTTTCTTTTATACTTATGAAGTCATGAATATTGAGTAAAAGTTTAGTACTGATCAACCTCGATTTTCTTCTATTGGTAAAATTTTTTGTTAATTTAGTGTGATGAACTATAGACATATTGAAGGTTATTTAATTTGAATTTGATGTGTTGTAATTGAAATATTTTTTATTGTTGTAGATTGTCATGTATTTATAATTGTTGTTGTAATAAATTTTATATAATAATAAGTAATTTTATTATGTTAATTGAATTTATTAGATTGAAATAAATTGTTGTCTCTTATGGATAAAAAAAGGGAAAAAACAATGAGATATGGGAAGGGATCAACACCTATCTCTTAATCTTATTGTACTAGTTCGGTCATATTTAGTTTTGAATTATATCTAGATTAAATCAAATCACAAGTTGTTTAACTCGGTTTTTTTTTTTTATAAAATGATCAAATTTTAGATTAGGTTGGCATCCTGTTTGATCCGTCCTTTATACAGTTCTATTTGAAGGTATGTTTATGTTGATGATTCTTTTAAAACTTCTGAACTTTTTTTTCTTCCTTGATGATGGTCAAAATTGTTATCTAGTGTTGACTAAAAACAATTAGTAAAGAAAGACCAGCAGCTGCACTATTCTTCACAATTATGGAATGAAATTTTTGAAGGCAGGGCATGGATAAAGTATTGTAATTTTAATTTTTGGACATGAAAGAAAGTTACTTCCTTTCGTCTTCTGCACTTCAACCAGTATCAATATGTGCTTGGGGACCTACCATCATCTCATCCCCGGCCTCCATAGTCTAAATTAAATGTTTTCGACAAAATCTCTCAAGACGAAATGGCCAAAAAACGTATGGCCACTTTGTTGGAATAATGTGTTTATTCACATCTCGTCCCCCCCCCCCCCCCAAATAGTTGTATACAGTGTTGGATTTGATATTTTAAAGAAGTTGCCGGATGGCTTTTAAGAGGAAATAGATATACCAAAATTCAAGAATATCATAAATGCTTCGCATATCAATGGGGGGCAAAAGGTACATTCTTCGAACTTAGTTTATTGGAGGCCTAAAAAAATTTACTTAAATTATTTCTAACATATTTTATCAAAACGAAACAAAATATTAAAACTTATTAACTTCATTTAAAAATTTATTAAATTTTTAACTTTGTTCCCTTTAAATATATATACGTATATTTAATAACATATTTTCTTTGATCAATATTTAGTGAAAAATAAATGAAAAAATTTGTCATAAAAAATCAGTAACATAATTTATAAATAGACAAAAAAAATTACATCTCCTTATTATAAGATAAAATCAGAAAGAGAGTGTGTGTGTGTATTCTTTAAGGTGGATTAATCAGAAAGAGTATTTTATCAAGCCTATTCGTGATGGGGCTGAATTGAAGGGCAGAGGAAATATTAATAATATGGTAATATATTAGACAAATAAAGGGGGAAATTGTGCAAGTCATAAGCTTATGATGTATCGCCCAATGTTCACCAAAAAAATATCAAATAATGCGTCTTTTCTACACCAAAAAAAAAAGTTTAAAATACTAATTAAAATCTTATAAATCGAATGGATTGTGTGCATGTGACAGAAAAATGAGGAGCATAAAGTATATTTTTACCTTATTTTTATACTTCCTCCGACCCTTTTGTTATTTGCTTTCTATTCATGGTTAATTTCTTTACTTTTTATTCTGTTGTTGACACGCTTAGAGCCTTAAACATTATTTTTAAATTAATTTATAAGAATATACAAGTGACGAAAGGATAAAAGTAGAGTCAAAGAATTAAAATATAGTAACCATTAATAGGGAAAGATACACGTTATTTTTTTTATATTAAATCATAGTATTCTAAATTATTTTACATTTATACGAATATAAGAACCTTAATTTAATATTTATATATTTAAAATTCACAATAAAAATAATTATTTATTTTCACCAAATTTAATTGTCTGAATCGAGTTAGTTAATCATTTAAAGCTTTAATTCATAAAATAAAATATAATGCTTTGCAAAATCTTATGTTGATGAATACACAGTATCTGAAGTCTCCCTAATAAGTATGAAATTTTCAGGTTCGATGAACGAAAACATTTTTTTTCCTTTAGCACAATCAGGAATAAATGATCTGACAAAAACATCATGGGACATTGAATGTCCATTTATGGCATGTTTGTATTGCTTGTACAGTAAAAGAATATCATATGAAACCCTTTTTCAGAAAATGAGAAGCGTGACACTCATCATTCACACTCTTCTAATCTGATGGAGCCTAGTGAATTGTATGGTACCCAATTTCTCCGTGAAAATTCATTTAAAAGAGTTTCCCCGCCTGAACTTAAACCAAAAAAAAAAAAAAAATTGAATTAGTAAGAACTAAGAAGCAGGCTTGGAAGATAACCGTTGGATGAGGTTAGGGGTACCGAGTCCATAAAACTGCCATAACCAAGCCTCTTTTCGGGAAAAAGACACAGAATTTTTGGGTACGTTATCAATGTTGCATCGATGTCCACAAAGTTGGTTTCACCTTGAGGCAAAGAAGTGATGAATTTGATTTTCCATGTTTAGGACAGAGCCAAGAGCAATTAGTGCTGAGAAATTATTAAGCATTCTTGTTACAATTGCAGGATCATCATTGAAAGGAAATCCATTGAAATAAATTTTCTTTCCTAGGATGCAAACCCAGACCAGATTCAATACTGAAAACCACGATTTTGCTTTTTTAATTTCCGGCTGTATCTGTGGATTTCTCTTTTAATTTTCCCTTTTTTTCCTCAAAATGGATCCCGAGAAAACAACAGCACATCATAACCTTCGGCTCTCATTTCCCACACCTTTACAATAACTCAGTCCAAGTGTTGGCATCAGAAAGTCATAGACTCTGAAGCCTTCAGATAATCTCTTGGAATCCCCCCATTCTCCTGATTGAAACTCTCGTCGCCATGAAATCCAAGAGCCTTGAGCAGTGGAGGGAGTACTTCGAGAGCGGAAACTGCAGCATCTACCAGATCATCTTCAATGCGATAAGAGTGGCTGCTTTGGATGATCCCCAAGAGTTCAAACTTCGCAGAAAAAGGATCGCGGAGAGGCTCTACTCTTGTCAATTCACTGGGTCTTGCTGCTGCGTCGATCAGACGGAGCAGGACGTTCATAGCACCATTACACAAGTTTTCCAGGAGTGCAAAAAAGCTTGTGCTCGTAAGGGCGCCAAGGTCCATGATTCTACAGTTATTGCAGGAGGAAAAGCAACCGATCAGGCCAATAATGAACTCGAAAACAACGTTGAAGTTGAACGCGAAAATATTCGTTGTGTTTTGCAGATTAAGGATGAGCTCGAAAACAAGGAGCTGGTCAGTATATACCACTTCATGCAATTTCGATTTCAATGTGATTGACAGATTGTAGACTGTTTTGACCCGTCGAAACTTGAAACTGTGGAGTTAATTATATTCATGTCTGGACTATAAGGCTGCTACTATATCGAGTGCAATTGGGATGCACATCCTTCAGTTCTTGTCTATAATTTTCTCATTTTCTTTGTATTGATAATTAATTAATCATTACACTTTTGAATTTTGATAGACGGACACTGAAATCTACGAGTCGTTGACGAAGCTGCAATTGATGGTTCGATCTGTTGGTGTTATGGAGGTAAGAGTAGTACTATAATATTAGTTGTTATTTATAATTTCTATCAAGTGAAAACCATATGTGTGTGTGTGTGAATTCAAAATTTCGAGAAGAATATTATGATGTTCACTGTTTGTTACTTGGGTTGGTATAGTATGTTTGGGAAAGCAATCTTCTACGTGTTGCCTATATGGCTAGAACGGCTGCCTACAAGAGTATAAGGCTACAAGCCCTCCATAGAGGCATTGGAATTATATTTATTGTAATTGTGGATTATCCTTTGTAGGCTACAAAAATAGGGAGCACAATAACTAATCTGAAGCGTCACCGGTCGAAGGAGCTTGGTCTTTTCGCAACAACTATTGCTGAGTATGAATTCTCGCTGCCTTTAATTTCCTCTTCTAAAACAGCATCATACACATTTGCATTCTTTCTCTCATGTATGTTCTACATCAACTACATGGAAAGTCAGGAGTGTATAATACTTGCATATAATAAGAAAAAATTGAAAATTTCAGATGATCATGGCCCCAAGATACCAATATCCTTTTTTCTGTCACAGTCAAGAGCTGATTAGTAATGACTAAAACAAACTATATGCATAGAAAGCATAAAATGTGCTCGATCTATTTACTGTTGTGATGAGACAATGTTGAAAGGACTTAAATGACCAGGATCGATATATATATATATAGAGAGAGAGAGAGAGAGAGAGGAGGGAGGGAGAGAGAGAATATTTTTTTAACCATATCAAGTAACATGTTGAAGTTCAAGCATGCACGTCCCTTAGCTTGTTGAAGCTCTTGTGTTTGGAATAGCTTGCTAGTAGTTAAGCTTCTCCTAGAGAGGCATAATTCCTTCTAAAAGTATCAAAAATCGCGAAAGACTGATGATGAGTAAAAGAAACAACATCGTACTCCTTCCTTCCTCTCCTTTTGAAAACTGACTCTCTTCCTTACCTTCGCAGTCCTCGTCTCTTAATCCACCATCTCATTATATATATTTAACCTGTGTTTAGGTACGTAGGCGTTGCCACGCTCATCATTTGCTTGCCCTAAATAGATGACTCGTCAAAATCCAGTGTCACCTGTGCAACCTTTCAATTCGGCCATGCTTTAGTCTGTGCTATGAAATCCACTCTATTGCCAAACGACATTGTACAATAATCATCTCCTTAGCTTATTTTATATGGCTCAATAAGTAAGTTTGCTCGTACAAAGAGGCAATGTGGTTGAAATTTGTTGATTTCTCCCCTTGCATGCAAGATTAGATACAGTGTTGGGCTAACTATTCTTTTTCTTTTTCTATTTTTCCTCCAAAATCTACTAATAGTGAAAAGATATAAGAAATATAATAAAAGAAATATGAACGTCTAACCTGTAGGTTGGTGTCTTAAACATATCTACAGACTACAATCATTTCACATACGTGCTTAACAACACTTACAATTTTCTAGTTAAAAATCACAATCGTTTAATATAAACAGAAATATTGTATAATATTCCTCTCCCATATAATTTTGAGCAGAAAAAACGTAAAATTCTCCCCGCAAATCATAAGTTTCTAACCACTTGGGATCTTCATTACATTTATGTATAATTCCTATGTTTAATTTGATTGAGATGTTTAAACCAATTGATCGTGCTCAACATTTTGACTACTCTTTTCTCGTCCCATGATTAAACTCTAATTAGACAGGGAAAACCAATACTTACATGGAGCCTGTTTACAAGAAACTGTTACTTCTCTGAATCTTTCAAATCAACGTGGAACCAAGAGATGTACTGTTCAGACAATTTTTTAAATCTAAAACCCTTAAGCATTTTTCTCGAAATTAATTCAACTCTATAAATGAATTTGATGCGTGGAGAGAATCATGAACGTGCATGAAAGGCTCTAAAGTAATATCAGTTATCAATTTGGAGCCCTCTATACATGCCACCCGTGATTTCCTCCACGCACCGAATCCATTTCTCTCACAACACCAACTTCGTAAACTGCATCATTAATTTCATCCATCAATATATATATATATATATAGAGAGAGAGAGAGAGAGAGAGATAAACTGCATGTTAGCTAGTTAGAACAAGGAAATTATTTAGGCGTGAGAAATTTATATCAATAAACTTGATTGTTGTTTATAAATTAATGTGCAATTCCTAAGTTGCAATTATCGCAGCCAATGGAAGTCGATGATTGTGGAGTTATCTGATAGAGCGGCAGAAACTAAAGGTAATTAATCGGATTTTTTTAATCAAAAGGCAAATTAACCATATTGGTATTTAAACATTTATGGCAGTTTTGAGTTGATTGATTAGAGAGGTGACGTAGAAGCAGACATTGAGTAACATATTTTTATTATGTAGAAAAATCTAAAAACCTCGTGCCTAGCTTTGATCTTGAAGAGTGGCGAGAATTTCCTTCTGTTGAATATGTTCCTCAGCCTCCGGTGGAATTCTCAGAGGTATAAACATAAAAAATTTCCGGCTTTTGCTATTGTTCTTTGAGCTTTTCACTGTTGTGAGTGTGTGGACACGTGTAAATATATATATATATATATATATATCTTGTATCATTTCATGCACGACTGATTCATCTGATAAGGGTTTTTGATTTGGTGGGGCTCCGTTTCTTGTGAACTGAGAGAAGAAGTTCCTTGACGACATGGATGATTGTGAAAGTAAGTCACGATTCTTTTTTTTTTTAACTTTGGCACTCATGTGTAAATCGTTGTGCCTCTCTGAGTTTTCTTGAATTCAAGAACACTTAAACTGTGTAGATTATTGGCTAGCAGATGCTGGTAAGGACAATAATGAGACTGCTGAGGAGAGGCGAGAGAATGACAATGCTGCAAAAGAAAAGGAGGCTGAACTAAAGCTGCAAGAATCCATGAAGCGAGAGAAAGCAAAGAAAGAATCGGTTGAGAAATTCATAAATCGTAGATCCAATGGACCATCCAACAAAAGCAACATCGAGGTTGAAAAAGCTCGTGCAACAGAGAAGCAGCCTTCAATGGGAAACAAAAGAAAACTGGAAGAGCAGCGAAGCGAGGACGCAGAATTCATCACGCCCATCAGGCGACATAAAGTTGCACCACCGAAGCAAGAATCCATTCCTGATCAGAAACCAACCAAGTCAGCATCAGTCCGTAATCCCCCGAAGACTGGACTTCCGTCAGACAGAGATCGGAAGCCAGTAAGGGTGAAGAAAGAGGTTCAGAATCACGGTTCTGAGACTCGTATCAGGTACAGGGCTCTTCGTATCAATGCAGAACCCAGACAAGGTAGTCCACGCGCGAGAGAGGTATATTTTTGATTTGTAGTTTCCAGTTTTTCAGTTTCAATTCAGTCCAACATGCATACTCATCTGATTATTCCATCTGCTTCTATCTATACAGTCGCGCAGGTCATCTGATGATAATATTGCAATGGAAGACAGACTCGAAACCTCGAAGAAGAAACTTCAAGCAGGCTACCAAGCTCATGAGAGAGGTTGGCGCCTCTTGCTCTATCTATGATATATTATGCATATGTGTGTATTATTTTGCTTTTTGCTTTTTGTTTTTTTGAATGATACATCCTTTTTTAACAGCTAAAAGGAGCATCCAGTTAATTCCAGAAGGTGATCTTCACAAGAAAGCATGGAGCCGCTCAAAGAACCAGACTCGGAAATGAAGGCTTGACCTTGTTTTGATGTAGCGCTTCGGATTTCAAATTTAGTTTACATTCTATGAGTTACATGCCTCCTCGGATATTATTTATTTGCAAACTCTGTCGTTCACCAAATATATCAGTACGCCTTCGTGATATGTATAAATAGAGACGATTGTGGGTTTATTTTAATTTCTATGCGCTGAGAGCGGAAAGCTTGCATACTTCGAAATAACTCTTTCTTTGATCATCACACCATACGAGGTTCTCTTCTTCTCAACTTCTCACACAACAATATATACGTGTGTGGATCATGCATATGTATGTGACTCTGTGAGGTTGTATGAGCAGAGATTTCTTTTCTTTTTTAGTTTTTTTTGGGAACTGGTCTGAACACAAGTATCTGGGTTTGGAAAGGGCCCGATGGAGAATGACCAGAAGTTCTTCTGGGCCTATTTGAGTAACAAGAATTCGGGGAGGTGTTGTTTCCTCAAAATTTTTATGTTTTACCGATAAAGTTAGCTCAGTTGATAAGGATTTATTCCATAATCCATAAAATTATGAGATTAAATTCTACTATTAATACAAAAACCTTATTGATGGATGATTTATAAGCATCTTTATAATAAATTTTTAAGTTTGAAGACATGCTCTTTCTGTATATGGTTATCTTTTATGACCAAACTTACCAAAAGTTTTCATTATAAAAAAAAAAAAAACACGTTTTGAAGCACAACTTCAGTTATCACAGCTATTTTTTGGGAAAAGAACAATAAGAGAAGGATTAAAAAATGCAATTAGCTATAGAGAGTATAGAAAAGTTCAGGGCAAAAGAAATGCACATGATAATTAATCAGGGGACCATACGGAAGCAAGACTTTGGCAACCTCAGAAAATAATATGAGAGCTAAGATTTTGATGATAAAGAGTATGAATGTGGTAAGCCGTGTCTGGATGGAAACCTCTGCTATTTGTTCTATGCTATTAGATCAGATGACTGAATTAAGGGCAATTATGTGGAGGCGGTTCACGTTGGCACTAATTTAGAGCACGTGGAAAGGGAAAATTTCATAAAAGACTCTTTAATCATATTTAATTTTAGTCAAAACTCTTAAAACTATGAAATTTTAGGGCACATATGTGGAACTAAAATGAAATTAAAAAGTTAATTGAAATGATTTTATTGCTTCTTATAAAGTTAGGTATATAACAATTCGTATAAAAAAAATTAACAATTGATATATAAAAAATGAATAACTAATGTAATTGGATTTTACAACTCTCATTAAAAATATAACATTACTATATTTGCATTTTTTTTAATGAAAAATGAGCTATAATATTACATCAAAAATAAAACAGTACACCAAAAATTTACAAAATTGAAAAAGACAGGAGCCTTTTAACATTCACCCCTTCCTAACTAGCATACTATGTTTGTATATTAACTAGAGGTGAAGTTATAAATTTATTAAATTTTTAAACACAGTTAATAAATTATGTTGAAAATGACTTGTGATGGAATTGGAAGAATAAGATGTCTTGAAAGCTTCCTTCAACGTAAAATGCTTGAAATTAAATTTAAAATTGGGATTATAAATATACTTGAATGCTTTGTCATCCTTCCGAGCAGAC